CAACATAAGCTAGAATTATAACTGCTCATTAGATCACAATTTACACACCAACAGAAACTATGTTACCATTAGATCACAATTTACACACCAACAGAAACTATGTTACAATCGAGTTTATATAAGTCACACTAAAAACACAAGCCAGAGTTTGAAGAACAACGTTCACTGAGGATACACATATCAGAAGTGAGTCTTGTGTTAGTTAATTATTCTAGCAATATAAGCTAGAATTATAACTGCTACATTAGATCACAATTTACACACTAACAGAAACTATGTTACCATCGAGTTTACATAAGTCATACTAAAAACACAAACCAGAGTTTGAAGAACAACGTTCAATGAGGATACACATATCAGAAGTGAGTCTTGTGGAGCCAATTTAGGTTGATATTCTCTTTGGCCACAATTATCCTTACGTTGTTGAGACAGGACGAGAAAGATTCCCATAAATATTTTGTCTCTTCATCACAGACCACTTCCTCTAACTGCTCAAGATCCACGACTGATGGAGGCAGCTCTTGCAACCTTGAGCATTGCCTCATGTTGATCTTTCTTAAACTACTCATTTCACCAATGTCTTCGGGCAACACCTTGATGCTGAAGCAATCAGATATATCAAGAAAGTTTACCTTTCCAAGGTTCTTCATCGAGGTTGGAAGCTTCGACAGTTCTGTGCAGGATCTTAGCCTCAACAATTCTAAATTTTCCAACTTTCCAATCCCTTCAGGCAAGGCAGATAGCTTATGACAGTTAGTGACACTGAGCTTCCATAGTTTACTAAGATCACAAACCTCGGCAGGCAATTCAATTAAATCACTGCAATAGTCGATGTTCATTTCCTCTAGATTCGGGAAAGCTGACGAGATTGAGATGGAACAGTTATTGAAAGCTTGACCAATGTTACACATGAACAAGGATATCTTCTTCAGACTCGCCAATTGTATGGGATTCTTGGTTATGGAAAGAATTGAGATGCGTTCTAATCTGATTCTCTTAAGATTTGGCAACGAACTCAAAAGTTGGAAGTTACTCAAATCAGCAGGTAAGAAACCATAATTTGTGACAATCACAGCCTTCAATTCATCCATGTTCACCACAGATTCAGGTAAGCCATAGTTCTTTGTCTGGAAATTCAATACTAAAACCTCAACTTCTGGCATTTGCATGTTGTGCCATTTAGTTGAAAACCCTTCATCTGCAAAGTAACAACCATAAGTGTGAGGAGGAGAAACTAAAAAGAAACTATTAATGTGTGCGCACGCGAGTGTGTGCAAGGATGACTAGTTATTTGTGCTTGTCTATGTAATTGCTAAAGAGAAAGGGAGAGATGGAACAACCAGTTGTTATGGATAATAAGCGGGCCTTCATCGGCTGATGCTTCTGTTCTCTCCACCATTTTGGAAGATTGTCTCCACATATGTCAACAATCAGTCTTTTTCTATGTTCTACCGGTCCTTTTTTTGTGTTGTAGATAGCCAGCTCCCGAAGAACATCATGCTGGGTAACAAAGTGCTCGCTATAGTATCCGTCCCCCTCCATCTTGTCCTTCCTGGTCATGATCAAAACTAATTTTCTTAGAAGAGATTCTTCAACCAACATATTGCAATAACAAGTTATTAGCATCAACCAGTCGTGTATATAAAGGGGAAAAAAGAGCAAAAATATTATACAAAAGAAAACAAAGCATGCACACCTTGTAACAACAAGATTGGCTAGACTTCGTTTGGTTAGCTCGTACAGGTTTGCAATGCACTCTATATCTGTATCGACATCATGTAACTCTGCCCAGATATCAATGAGGGCAGCAGCTGGGATTCTTTGGTCTTCCGGAAATGAACCTAAGTCTAAGAAACATTCCTTGATGACAACCATTTCTTTATCCAAGGCACCCAAGCTTTTTTCAAGGCACAAAAGCAATTCAGTCTCTGAATCAAGAATAGAAAAACCTTTAGACCATTCAATTACTCTTTTTTGCCATATCTCTATAGGCTCCCCACAAAGCGATCTCCCCACCACTGTAATGGCAAGTGGAAATCCCTTGCAACGCTCAACTATCTGCAGGATAATTTTCCAAAACAAAGTCAATACCTTTTAAGTTGCAGAACCAAAATTCAAGTTATTAAGATGAGAAAATGGCTAAATAACTATCTGCATTATTCTAATTTTAGTTTTAGGCCACAAGTAAGTATGCTTAAATGCATATTTAATCATGGGTTTATATGGTAAATGGATATGTTCATTCACTCGGTTGTGGATGCTTTTGCGTAAAGGGAATATAATATCTAGATAATTTTCCAAAACCAAGTCAATTAACTTTTGACTATACATTTTTGTGCACGGCAACTAAAAAGTACCTTTTCTGGAAGATCTTTTGGAATATGAGAGCTCTTATCTCCAAGGGATGCTGAATGATGAAAAAGTTTCATCGCATTGTCATGATCCAATGATTGCAAATGATAAGGGAAACCATATCCCCGAAATTCAGACCTAGATGTCACCAAAAACTTGTGATTTTCTGTTTTGAATTCATCAAACTTCTCCACAAGGGATTCTGATCCAGACCAAACATCATCCAGGACAATTAGTAAAGGATTCTGCCCTTGTTCCTTCAGAAAACGTTGCAACAACATCACTGCACTGACTTCGTTTTCGAATGTAGGTGCCGGGAAACCCTTGCGTTGATATAGATCTTGAACAATATTTTCCAATTTAGGCTTTTTTGAAACCGTGATGAAGAAGATATTATCCTTGAATGTATCTATCCAATGAAAACATAATGAATCAGTCATTGAGGCATCATTTAAATCTGCCATAATTGTACAAAGAAAAAAAATATAAACAATTCCGAGTGCTAACTTATAAATATATGATCGATACCTTTGACATCCTTGTCTTGACAAAACTTTGTAGCCAAAGTGGTTTTTCCACATCCTCCGGGAGCAGTCAGCACAACCATTGAAACATTTTTGTCCTTTAGAAGCTTCATCTTCAACTCCCTCAGAGGACCATCCAATCCAACCACAAGCGGCGGAAGTTGAGGTACTGCACACCAAGCATCACTGTCGGGTTGTTTCGGTATCACCAGATTCGATTCGATTCTGCTGAGCACGTTCTCTATATTCCTCACCGAAAGGGAGCTGTCCTTCATATCCCTTATTCCCTGAACGTTTAGTATTTCCAAAAGTCGTTGAAGAGATTCATCCCATTCAATCAGCTTGTTGGCGTATTTGTACCTTTTGTACAAGCTCCACCATCGAATCTTTTTGCACTTCTTAACCACCTCTATGCCCTTCTCCAAATGTTCTTTCAAGTCTACCAGTTCCTTATCCGATAGATCCAATTTCTTGTTGGATTTTTCTATATCCTTCAACAATGGTGCCAAAGAGTCTAACCTGGATTTGATCTCTTTGAGAAGGGGCGTAAAAATTACATTCTTGGTAATCAGCTCATCGAGGACATCATACAGCACATTGAACGCTGTTCCGAGAGCAGCCCCGCCGATAAGGCCGCCTGCTCCACTCATTCCTTGATTCTTCACAACAAAAACCAACACCAAAATCAGAAAAAACTTACAAAAATACAGGAAAATTGGCCGAAACGACCATTTTTCACCCCATTGCGGAAATTATCAGTTTTCAGTATGTCGCCGATACTTGATAAGAACTGAGAATTTGAGATTTGATTTCGGACCGTAGCCACTTTCCCAAAACAATAACAGATTAGAAGCTGTAGAAAAGTGAGACACGCTTAAATTTGGTTTCCAAAATAAAGAGATTCAGAAATCAAGCAATACAAAGGGTTTTGGCATAAAAATACTTACTACTGAAGCTCGATAGAAATATCGGGGTTGGAGAGCGTTGACTTCAACAGTAGCTGCACCACCATGTCCGGGAAATTTCGGAGTTGGAGTGTGGAGGGAGACTAGGAAATTCACCACGAAACTTGCATCGTGTCTGGGAATCTTTCACGGTGAGAGAGAGAGCCCACCAACCATATTATTAAATTGTGAAAGCAACTTTCGAAAGGAGACAAAAGCAGAAAGACCAAACGAAAGTTTTGAACCGATGAGCAATAAACGGCCAATATTTAACCATGAATCAATGGGCAATAAATGATCAATTTTTATACACATAGTGACTGACAGCCCATTTTTTTTTTTGGAAAGATCAACTTCATGCTAGCTGTCCAAACGTGATTGGACCAATTAAAAAATAAATTAAATAGGAAATTTTGAGGGTGGTCACGTGCGAATGAAAGGATGAGAGAGAAATAATGACTGACAGCCCATTTTTCTTTTTTGGAAAAATCAACTTCATGCTAGCTGTCCAAACGTGATTGGACCAATTAAAAAATAAATTAAATGGAAAATTTTGAGGATGGTCACGTGCGAATGAAAGGATGAGAGAGAAACTCATTTATCATCTTCTTCCTCCTTTCGTGAACACAATCAGCAAACTCAGAAATTGCAGAACACACTGCACAGACCTGCTGTTTGAGTACGAGGGTTCTCCGAAAAATTTTAGAAGCGATTTAGGGTCGCCGAGAGGCTCTGGGACCTCTTAGGTCCCTTTGTAGATCGGCCACTGATTATATGTCTGCATTAAATTAAAATACGGTAAACTACATTATAAAATATGTCAATATATAATATCTAGGTAATGTTAAGAAGACTAAACATATAAACAAAATTTTAAAAACTAAATAACATGTAAGCTGATGATTGATTTATTACTTAAGCATTGATAAACGTGCTCATTTATATTGATGATACATCATTTAATTTGCAAATTTTGTCTTCAAATTTAGTTTCCTTATTATTGCCTAATAGGCTAATATCTATATCAGAGTAAGCAACAAAAGAAATAGATATAACCAAATGCATAATTTGCATATGAGCCATATTAAAAAAAAAAAAAATATATTTACATATGAGGTGCAGTAAAAACATATTTTTTGTATAATCCAAGAAAATATAATACTAACATGACAATTACACAAGATAAAATAACACATAATTTCTTGAGACGCGAGAGTTGATATAAATAGTCTTACAAACTGATGTGATGAAACATAGAAATTGAACAGAACCAAGAACGAAATCAAACAAGAAAAATCTAACAAGAAGATGAAAGCTAAAGAAAACAATGCTACACAATCAGAAAAACGTTGCTCCATCATTTATTGAGGAAAGACAGGTCTCACAACTGAGGCTTTTCGAGCCAATTCAGATTGGTTTTTTCTTTTGCCACCTTGATTTTGTCTCTGGCTAAGAACGATTCCCACCAATGTTTCTTCTCTTCATCACAAATCACTTCCTCTAACTGCTCGTCAAGATCCCACACTGATAGAGGCAACTCTTCCAATCTTGAGCATTGTCCCACGTTGATCTTTCTTAAACCGCTCATATTACCAATGCCTTCAGGCAACTGCCTAATGCCCAAACAATCATACATGTCAAGACAGCACAACTTAGTGAGGTTCTCAATCGAGACCGGAAGCCTTACCAAGTCTGTACAGGACCTTAGTCTCAGTACATCCAAATTCTCCAGCTTTCCGATCTCTTCAGGCAAGGCAGATAGCTTATGGCAGTTGGTGATACTGAGCATCTTCATATGAACAAGATCACAAAGCTCGTCAGGCAGTTCCACCAAATCATGGCAATAGTCAATATTCATTTCCTCTAAACCTGGCCAGGCATCTGAAATTTTGATGGAACAATTGTGGAAAGCTTGACCCATGTTACACATGAACAAAGATATCTTCTTTAGACTCTTCAATGGTACGAAATTCTTGGTTATGGAATGAATTGAAATGCGCTCTAATCTGATTCTCTTCAGATTTGATAATGATTCCAGAAGATCAAAATTACTCAATTCAGTAGGCAATAAACCATAGTTCGTGACTATTAGAACCTTCAGTTTATCAATTTTCTGCACAAATTCAGGTAAGGCATTGTTCACTGTCTTAAAATTCAAAACTAGAACCTCAACTTGTGGTAGATGAACACTCTGCCATTGTGTTGGGAACATTCCATCTGCAAACAATATGCTACGAGATATGAGTAGGACAGAAATTATATGAAACTTACGTGCAAATTTTAGCGTGTGTCTGTGTGTGCATGTGTATATATGCATATGCTTGTGTCTGTGTTCATGTGTGTGTGAGCAAGGACGAATGTGAATGTATGTGGGTAAGTGTGCTGGTCATAGGTAGACGTGCAATGTGTACATATATGCATTTTATAAAGAGAGAGATGGGACAACCAGAGGAGATAGATAATAGGCGAGCATTGATGGGTTGAGACTTCTGTTCCGTCAACCACTTGGGTTGATTGTGTCCACTTACGACAATCAGTCTTTTTCTATCTTCTATTGGGTCTAGTTTTGCATTGTAGATAGCCAGCTCTCTAAGCATATCATGCTGGCTAACAAAGTGTTCGATATAGTAGTCATCCAGAATCTCTATATTCTCCTTCCTGGTAACAAGCCAAACTCAGTCAGTTGCAGACTTGCAGTTTCATATTATGGTCAGAGCGACATGTGAATGTGGACATTTTCAATGAGAATATTATACAGGAGAAACTTAATAGCTTGCGTACCTGGTGATCACAAGATTTGCCAGACCTCTGCTGGCGAGTTCTTGGAGGTTCTTAATGGACAGAAAGTCCTCATCTAGCTTATATAACTCTGCCCACATATCAATGAAAGCAGCAGCAGAGATTCTTTGATCTTCAGGAAATGAAACAAGGTCCGTGAAACCTTCCCTGATGATAACCTCTTTTTCATCTAAGGCATCTATACTACTTTGAAGGCGAAGAAGCAACTCAGTCTCAGAATCAAGAATAGAACCTTTAGACCAGTCTGCTAGTCTTGAACGCCAGAATTCTGTAGCTTGTCCGCGAAGTGATTTCCCAGTCACTGTAATGGCAAGGGGAACTCCCTTACAGTGCTTTAGTATCTGCAGGTTAATTGTACCAAATGATGTCAATTCCCATCTGGGTTGCAGACAGAATGTTCAAGTTTCTTTTGACATCTCAATGGTTTCATGAAAATGGTTATTGACTACCTACTTAGCTTCATTCTTATTTTAGTTTTGGTTCTTAATTAACATCACATGCGATCAGTGAATGATCGTTTGCAGGTTCATATGGTAAAATGGGTGTTTGCTTCTGTATGTGTATACATATCGTAAAAGATCAAAACAATTTATTTGCCCCACTTTGTTGCCCCTATAATTTGTGAGGCCTTGATATGTATATATGTTGTGAATTGCATAGTGAGAAATAAACCTTTCTCAGAAGATCTTCTGGAACAGACGAACTATCTCCCAGGGATGCTGAATGACGCAAAAGAGTCATCGAATCTTCATCATTCAAAGCCTTGAGATTATATGGAGTGCCAAATCCTGGAAATTCAGATCTCGATGTCACCAAGATCTTGTAATTTCGCGATTTCAATTCATCAAACTTCTGAAGAAGAGATTTGGATTTGAACCGAACATCATCCAGGACCAACAGTATAGGATCTTGTCCTGCTTCCTGAGACTTCATACGTTGATATAGCTCTTGTAGAACATCTAAGTTGGGCTCTTTAGAAACGGTGACAAAGAAGATATTTTTCTTGAATTTATCTATCAAAATACAATACAAGAAATATGTTAGATAAATGTGAAAACAAGGAACAATATACTATGGCAACATTGAAGAGTATGAAACGAGTGAAGCAATTTTCTTAAGGGAACCTGATCAATCATGAAGCTAGTGTAGAAAATGCTTCGTTACCCGGTCAAGTAAAATTTTCTACCCATGGGATTTTCCAATTATATTCCTCTAGGACTCAGATATGAACTGTATAACAGAAATGGGGACGATTCTTTACTATATAATGCATGACTGAACTATTATATCCGAGATATACCACATATTAGTCATGGAAAAAAGAAAGCTTTAATTTCGAAACCAGATATCCAATAAGATTTGATATTCAAGCATTTGAAATATTACATTTGTGGATTCACTTTGATGTTATATATATCCCAAGCTGTGTTTGATTTGGGTATAAATAGGTGCTGTAAACTCATACAAAAGGCTTCAAATCAACTAACGACATCTATAACATACTGCTAGTAGTAATCGAGAGAAAACAATGTTAAATTACAGATTACTTCTACTATAACACTTCTCAATTAGCAATTAGAAAGTATTATTATACCTTTGACTTCCTCATCTTGACAGAATTTCATTGCCAATGTGGTTTTCCCGCAACCTCCGGTAGCAGTCAGCACTAACATCGAGACATCGTCCTTAAGAAGCATCTCCTTCAAATCCCTCAAAGGCTCATCCAATCCAACTGTAACATGTGGAGGTTCAGGAACTGAACCCAAATCATGAAATCCTTCTTGCTTTTGTATGACAACATTCTCTTTGTTTCCTACCAAACTATTTTTCTGGACAGTAGTCAAGGTCTCCTTCGACACAGCCAAGTTCTCCCTCGAAATAGCCAAGTTCTCGAACCCGTTCCTTATTCCCTCCACAGTCAGTACCGTCAACAACCTGTTTAGACACTTGTCCAAATCGAGAAGTTGCTTGGCGTATTTATACTTTTTGAAGCCTTTCCACCAGCAAAGTTTGTAGCACTTGAGAACTAGCTCGTCCCCATTCGCCATTTGTTTCACAATTGTTTCTACTTCCTTGTTTGATTGATCCAACACCTCTTTGTACTTCGCTATGTCTTTGATCAGCGGCTTTAACGCTTCTAGCGTGGAATCGAGATCTCCGAGGAGCTCTCGAAACATCATAGTCTTGTCCTTGACATCCTTAACAACCTCATACAGCACAGTAAACAATGCTCCTACAGCAGCACCTGCAAAAAGCTCCCCAACTCCTCCCATTCCAGCTTCTCTCAAACAAAACCCGACACCGAAAAATCCGAAAACTAACTTGTAATAATTACAATCAAAACTTGAAGACAAGAGAAGAACATAGCAGTATGAAAAACCCAAACAAAAATGCTCTCTTGATATAAGGAAGAATCCGATTCTGCTTCAATGGGAAGCTAATAATTCCTGAGTAGAATCCATTGACTTACTTTTCCCTGTCCCCATTGATTTACCAAGCAAGTTGCAAAGCTGCTTGCTGTGAAACTTCGAAACCTATTGCTTTGCCATTAACTGACCGAGAAGAAGTTTCTGCTACACAAAACATCGCGCCTATCACACTCATGGCTGCCGACAAGAGCGCAATTACAATGCAATGATCCAAAGTGTTGTGTGCACGGGGGGAACCCTTCAACCACAATCAGTCGCAAGTTGGAACCCTTTAATTATGTTTCCTTTCTCCGGTCACCGCTAACTTCCAAGTCAACAACCACAACGGTGGTTTTTCTTTTCTTGAAACGATTAGGAAAAGTAACGAGAAGAAGATTTTACACAAAAAGTATATGCTCATTATATACCGATCTCTACCCTTATTATAAATTTATTTTCTAGATTTTTCGGAACACCATGCTATCAGGGTAATTGGAATTCCGTTTTTTTTTTTTTTTTTTTTTTTTTTTTGGTAAAACAATCAAAACTCTACTTTATAAAGAAACATCCAAAAAATTCATCTTATTGTAAAAGTTGTGAGGGTGAATGCCTATATGTTTTTAGTCAAAGATGAAAAGTGACGAAGACTTAAGAATAGTAGCATTGTTGTTGTTTTTGTTGTATGATGTTTTTCAAAACACACTCATTTCACTTTTGTGATTCTCCACAGATATGGCTCTATATAAGGAATATTTCATGTATGATCACAATACACAGAAAAGAAAATAAGTGAAAAGCAATAAAATCAATATCCATTCCTTTCTCTTTTTACTTACAATCATTTTGTGTTATAGTTACGAAAATAAATAATGTGATACATTGCACTCACTTCACTCATGTCCCTAGCAAATGTTATCTCTCTAACTTTTACCTATTTATAACATGTTATCAACACGACTCTCTCTAACCAGTTCTCATTTCCCTTCGCCGAAAAATGCTTCCTCCAAGAATCTTACTATTCTTCTTCCCTCACCTACTTGATATACCCTCGCCAAGATCTACTAGCATCATGCCTTCTCCTAGTTCTCAATATAACAATTATTTATATTTATTATTTCTTGTTTGATGTAGCTCCTGATTACTAACCTAGTGTTTATTTATGTTAATTTTATTACGATCAAAGATGGTGCGTTACAATTCCCTATTTTAAACTGCAAATTTAATTTTACTGCAATTTTAGGTGGTGCACTATAATCGCCCAACCTATAATTAAATATTCCTGCTACTTGAGTAGTGCAACCTTTTACGTCTATACAATCAGATTATTGGATCTAAGTTGCTGATTGTTTTGATTTCGTATAAGCTGCAATAAAATCTGCACCCACAACTGGAGGAGTCAAGAACCCTAACCATTATCGCCCTGGAATCGTTGCTGTTTGGTGAGTTTTCAACACAATATAGTTCAAATTCTCTGAATCCTGATCTTGAATTTTACCATGTTGCATTTCGTTATCTGAACTCTGTTCTTTCATTTATAAATCCGTTTGATTGAAAATTAGTCCATTCGGACCGTCTTCCACCCAAGCAACCACTATATAGTTTGAAGAATGCATTTAATCTTTATGGCAACGCCATTTATTTATCTCTCAGCAGCCTACAAGGGGATTTGATTGCATCATATTGGTTCATCTCTTTGCCCCCTTTTCTATTAAATTTTGTGCGATATGGATGTGGGTTATTCTCAATGTTTAGGTGGAAATTATTTGACAACTTCTGCAAAATTCTATGTATGATATAATAAAGCTTTTTCTAACTGAATGTAAGCAAAAATTTTGCAAATTAGAAGTGATAAAAATCTCTGTTTCATATAGCTACACTACTGCATAGCAGTATTTGATCAAACTATAATACTTTTTTTTTTTTTTTTTTACAACGGTGATGCAGAAGGGTTAGCGTTGGAGTTGGAAATAAGTAGGACTTTGTATGGATTATTCTCTCCCTTCCCTGCATTAGAAGGTAAGTATTATTCCAAAATGTTCAGTATAAGTGAAGTTCAGATTGTTGAACCGTAGCTTTTTAATTAGACAAGTTAAAAAAATTTCATTGAAATTGAAGCATTTTGAGGATCTCTTTTGAGTTTTATTGTTGTATTATTATTTTATTCTCGCCTATTTTTGTTTCTACCAATTTTGCTTATATATGTTTGATTAAGAACATGGATATTGAAAGTTTTGTTAATTTTTTCTCATCCCTCTTTTACAAAATTCGGTGAAATGCATTGCAGGTCATCAGTGCCCTTTTGCCTCCAAATTTCCAAGCTAATTGAACTCACGTCCCTCAGGCCCGTTTCTCCTCCTTGACTCGCTGTGAAGAAGCTCAACTTCTCAGGCTTCGGTTTTTATTGTTAGAACTTTCGTTTTTTACATATGTTTGTGATTAATGGTTTTCTTTTGAAAAAATGCTAATGGAAAACTGAATTTGAGTTATGATTTGTGATTTTTATTCGTTGCTTATTAAGATTTTTGTCCATTTTCTCCAGCTCTCTCACAGCGGAATCACCATCACCACCCAACAAACCCAAGTGGGGGAATTTCGATTACTGTTCCTGGAGGGAGGTAAAGCTGCTATCTTTCTCTACAAAGCGTTGGATTTTTTTAAATTTGGGTTCCATATCTTTTTTCTCTATTGGTTTAGCTTATGTCAAATTTCGCTACGTCTTAAGGTTCACTTATGCCTTATAATTGGTAATATTTTCAGTGCGACTGTGTACAACACTACGTGGTGTTCACGCACAGCCGTTTCGTTATTGGTTTTGGCTGTTTGTTATTATGTTCCATTCCACTTTGATATCCTTTAATAGAAAATGCTAAAATCCTAACTCATTCCCATTCAATGACATCTTAAGTTGTTGTAGAAGCAAATGATCCAATAATTACATATTTAATCAGAACTCCATGAGTGTTTTTTTCAATGATTTGTTGATTTTGTGTGATTTCGGTTGGATGGCTATCATAAAGCGAATCCTCAACTTTGTTCGTGTATACTGAGAGTAAATTAGAGAGCTAAAAGGTAGTAAGGTTTGAATATTTATGTTTAATTTTGTTTTGAGTTTGGATTCATTTTGTTTGTTTGATATTACAAATTCAGTGATAGGGAATTGGCACTTTTCTCCATTTTGAACAGCGTTTAACTCATTTCTAATTTTCTGTTTGGTTTCCAAGAAAATCGAGGGAAAAAAGCATAGGAGATTAATGAATTCACTGAATTGAGTGCTTTAAGTCCATTTTTGATTGAAGTTATTCCCTTTGCTTTCATTTCTGTATTTTTTCTTTTGGGTTTCCAGCACGTTGAGGATGGTAAAATAAATTATTTTGATTTTGGAAGTCTACTTTGTTTTTCAGCTTTAGTTCTTGGGAGAACCGAAAATGTGATTTCATGTATTTTATTATGTTCAAAATTGAAATTAGAATCATGCTATTCTTTGATATGAATGAAGTACATGGTGTTCTTCAAAATTGAAATTAGATTTCTCCATCCCCCTTAATTAAATGAAATATCAGAAAATTACTTTCCCTTTGCTTTGTTTGTCAAATATTATGCTTATATCTGTTTAATTTCATTTTCTATCAGCAAAAGAACTGTGATACCAATGTACTAATGAGTATTGTTTCAATTTCTATGTTTACTCATCTCTTCCAAGGGAAATACTGCATTTAAGGAAAGGCCTGAAATAATGTTGTCGACTGCTATACTGAAGCCATCAGATTGAACATGATGTGTGCAACCGTGCAACTGCTTACTTGGAGGTAATAGTCATTCTATTGCATGCATATCTTTAGAATCTTTGTTTTTATAACTATTTGGTGAAAGCACTGCAGACCAAATCATGTTATATATGCTTATTGTAAACAGTTCTGTTTGTAAAAGGACAGTTGGGTGACTTGGCGTTAGTTGCTGTTATCCAGATTTTGTATCTTTATGTGGAAATGAGTCGTAGCTGGTAAATGAGAAGCAGAGTCAGCAAATTACGGAGATACCTCCAGAAGAGTACAAAATGCCACCGATATGGATTGACTTGGAAATGACTGGTGAGGGTAAAATAATGTATGTTCCCTTTACCCTTTTGTTATTTGTGGATAAAATAATGTATGTTCCTATCATGGTTTCATTTTATTCTCCAAAAATAGATTTTTAATTTGCTGTTTACTGAAATTTCAGTCCTTTTAGTGAAGCTCCTTATAAGGATACTGCAGAGAGAACGGCATCTGGGAATTTACCTCTTAATGCATTTTTGTCTGAGGTATCTTCGTTTTCATTGCTACCCTGTTTAAATTAGCTTACATATGCTCTTCATGAATTTTTTTTTTCCTTTTATTTTGGATGATATACATGTTTCCCTTTTTTCGTTGTTTAAAGAATCTCCTTAAGCCAATTGTAAATTGTAACTATATCTTTGTTTTTTTGTGATTCCAGTGGGCCCTCATGACTCTGTTAAATCCAAACCGAAGTTTGGCGAATTTGATATACGTTGGATACAATGGCAGTTCTGCTTCAGCTATCCATGTAGGTGCAGGCATGGCAGGAAGAAGTGGACCGTGCACGCCAAGGTCAGAGGGATGCAGAGGGCAAGCTTTCTTCTTTGGAGGTAAGTGTCCTTTGTTTATTGCCCAACAGTGTTGTTATTATCAATTTGTAGCTTTGCGTTCTGAATTTTTTGCTTTGTCAAACAACCTTCTTGAAATACTCGATTTCAGGCCGAAGTCCAAAAAATGAGAGTTGAGATGGCTTCCATGAAGAGGGATGCAGAGCATTACTCGCATCTGCTTCCTCTCTTTTCGTATATCTTCATAGGAAGAGTTTTGCTAAGTTATATTGAGCACTATGTTATTTATAGGTTATATCCAAAGTGGTTAGATGAATGCTAATCTGATTTTCCTTACAGAACTTGAGTGCCAGTTGCATAGTGTTTGTTCCCTGCTGGATACCTGCTGTACAGTTTCATTTCTGTTTCTTCATAACTTTCTTGGTCCTGGGATATATGCATATTGAGTACAACAAACGTCCATTGTTCTCTAACTGTTGGGCTTTACTATCTTTGTAGCAGCCTGCCTAACATTTTTTAGGCTCTACACTCTACCATCCAATTTAATGAAAAATTCAAAGATTGGACGGTATTGATTGCAGAAATGAAAAAAATACTATGATATTAGAAAGGTGAAATGTAATTGTGTTAGAAGAAGCGTCTAGCATGATGGGTTATATTTTAAGTTTGTATTTCTAAAATTTTTTCGTTCTGGAGTATGATTTACCTCAATTGTTTCGTACTTTAATCTTTACTAATTTTCATTGTGGAGTATGATTTACCTCAACTAACAACTTTTCATTGTTTAACTTTTTCCTCCCTTAGATAGTAGCATATGTTTGATTTGTTGATCTGCTTCTTACACATGTTGTTTCCTAATGGTGTAGGTGGGTTGCCGGATGCATGTGCAGATTACTCGAATAGACGAAGCTAAAAATGACTTGGCATTGAGTGAGAAAGAAGCTTGGGTCAGTTGGATTTTGACATTTGATTTATTCATGTTTTTTGTTGCTTGCAATGTTCTCTCATTGTTTGTTCTGAGATTCTATGATCTTATTTTTCATAAGAACTGACATTGGTTTGCCATATAATGTTTCAGGAACTTATACAACAACTAATCACCTTGCTTAGCTCTCACGAGACATACTTAACAGGTTAACAAACACTAACCTATAAACTGATCTGCTGAGCTGGACCATCAACCTCTGTTTATATCCCCGCCACTCATCTTTTGGCACTTATCAATAGCAAAATCTAGAATTGCAGAAACCCCAATTTTAATGAATATTATTTTTAGTTGATAATTAAAATTAATTGATGATTAATCTATTCCGTTGTGCCTTATTTTATCGCCAAATACTTTGAATATTCAAATATATAGGGTTCACTATTTAACGAATACAATTTTGATGGTGGATTGCATTTCTTGAGTTATAAATGTGGTCAATCCATTATTTACTAGCTGAATAATCATAATGTTTTGGCCACTTATCTTGAATTTTGTTCAAATGGAAGAAGTCACATGTTTCTTTCCGTTGTTGAGGTAATCTCTCTGTTGAAAGCTTCTATTTCTTTTTTCTTTTTCTTTTTCTTTTTTTCATTTGGTAGATTTTTTTTTTATGGATTTATGTATTTTTTTTTCAGAGAATTCGAAATGAAATAGGAATAGCGGATTGAGCATAAACAAATTGATGAAATTTTTATTTGAGTGTTTGAGTTGGTCCTTTTTTAATTTGTTGAGGTTTGGAATTATTTGAGTTTTTTTCCTGTTACTACTGTGAAGGATGCTTGGCAATCGCGAAATGGGGGCCTACCTCTTTGGAAAGAGAAGTCTCGCTGTCCAACCTCTCACGAATTACAAACAAGGTGCTTTCTTGCTGGAAAAACCACCGAACCAGTAGAACTTTCCTCGGTTCTTCAATTCGATTCGAATAAATTTTTTACCCAGAAAAGCCAGCGTTTCCTGGTGAGTTTTACAGCTTTCTCAATGTTTTTGTGATTTTGAGGGTTTTGTTTATAGATTCTCTCACTCATCTCTCAGCTCTCTCTCACTTTTGAGGTACATGCGGTTGGATTCCGTTTGCTGCTGCTGATTTGCAGGTAAAGCTTCAATTACCATATAAAGTTTACGTTTTTCATGATTTCTTGAATTAGGGTTTTAAACAATGGAAATACTGCTAGATTCTTATCATTATGTGCAAATTACTGGCGATTTGGATTGGTGCCTGAGATTTAGAGAATGGCTCGCAGCTTTAATTTCTTTTTCCTTCATTATTACTGTTTTAAAATTTTTTATTGTTGGGTATTGATAATTTGTAGTCTGTGAGGGCTTCAATCTGTTGGAATTTTGAATGGTTATTGCTTCATCGGAATTTGGGTGGTCCAAATTTTGACTTAGAAGAAACCCATTTGATTAATATTTTTGGTGGATTGGTTCTCTGTGTTTTCTCTGTTATTTCTCCCCCAGTTGGAAAGTGGAAGCCCCAACTTTGAGCTCAGAGCTTGAATTTCTCAATTGTTCGTTTCTCTGCACTCTCATCAGTCACTCTTGATTCTCTCTCTGAAGAACTGGGTAATTTTCCAGCTCTATCAAGTAATACTCCATTTAATTGCTTAATTGAGGTTTTTTGTTTCTCCTCTTCTCAAAAAAGTTCATTGGCTTTGATGTTGGGCTTAAGTAAATGGGAAATCATTAATTGGCATTGTTCAAGATATAATTCTGTGTTTTTGGATTTGTGAAACGATTTGGCTAATGAAGATAGTGGTTAAAATAAATTTTTCGTCGTAAAGTTTTGTTATCTTATTCTCTTTGTATCTGAAGTCTTTGTGTCTTCATAAATTTTAGTTCTCACTACTCTACATATAAATCCAAACTTTGACATGATTATATATAGCCCTCATAGTTGATCTATCAAGAATTTTGGTTTATCCAATTTTATTTGACTTCTATATATTCCTAATTTCATGAATTAAACTTGCCATGCCGTCCATCTTGGAGTAAGACTTGAATTGTGATTCAATTATAACAACATATTACCACTTTTTTTACTACTTTGATCATCCTTTATATATTGGATGAAGCTTCAATTAGTTCTACCAAACAAGCCCCAGATTAGTCTCTGATTGTTTGATAATCCTCTATATATTTGATGAAGCTTCTACCAAACAACCCCTGATTTCTTTATGGTAATAGAGCTTCGTCTCTAATTGTTCATTGTCTGATTAGATTATTATAATATTTGGGTTGTTGGATATGTTGGGTTTGAATTGGGTTTTTATTTTCGTTTTTCAGAGTGATGGATTTTTGTATGAAATGCACTCAACCCTGAATTCCAGTGGGGGTGGCTGAAGCAGCTGCCGGATATGACAAATCGCAGCCAAGGTTCCCTAAATTGTCCATCCTTTTAGTTTTATAAAGTATGACAATTTGATATACATATATATGTATACGTATATATATATATATATGTATGTATGTATGTATATAGAGAACTTACATCTCTTGACAGATTGTGTGGCTAGATAGGTTTTCACGTACCTGACCAAAATAAAGTTTATCATGTTATTCTGTCCAACTATTGATTTGTAACAACGTTATGTACATACATTTTACACACCATTTTTATAACACAATTATTCCTGTATTTGAAGACTTGTATACAATACTTATAATTCGTTTGACATTCCACGGCAACGTGCGGGCTAAATCCCTAGTCTATGCTACTTTGAGGGCGAAGCAACTCGGTCTCAGAATCAAGAATAGAACCTTTAGACCTGTCTGCTAGTCTTGAAAGCCAGAATTCTCTAGCTCGTCGGCGAAGTGATTTCCTGGTCGCCAAACAATTAAGCAGCTCCTTCAAATGCGTCAAAGACTCATCCAATCCAACTGTAACATATCGAGGTTCAGGAACTGAACCCAAATCATGAAATCCTTCTTGCTTTTGTATGACAACATTCTCTCTGTTTCCTACCAAACCATTTTTCTGGACAGTAGCCAAGGTCTCCTTGGACACAGCCAAGTTCTCCCTCGAAACAGCCATGTTCTTGAACCCATTCCTTATTCCCTCCACAGTCAGTACCGTCAACAACCTGTCTAGACGCTTATCCAAATCGAGAAGTTGCTCGACACATTTATACCTTCTGAAGCCTTTCCACCGGCTACGTGAGTAGCACTCGAGAACTAGAACTATTTGTTTCACAATTTTTTCTACTTCCTCCAACACCTCCTTGCACTTCGCTATGTCTTTGAGCGGCTCTAACGCTTCTATCTTGGAATCGAGATCTCTGAGGAGCTCTTTAAACTTCATAGTCTTGTCCTTGACATCCTTAACAATCTCACTCAGCAATGCTCCTAAAGCAGCACCTGCAAAAAGCTCCCCAACTCCTCCCATTCCAGCTTCTCTCAAACAAAACCCGACACCGAAAAATCCGAAAACTAACTCGTAATAGTTTCAATCAAAACTTGAAGACAAGAGAAGAACATAGCAGTATGAAAAACCCAAATAAAAATGCTCTCTTGATATAAGGAAGAATCCGATCCTGCTTCAATGGGAGGCTAACAATTCCTGAGTTGAATCCATGGACTTACTTTGCCCTGTCCCCATTGAGTTACCAAGCAAGTTCAAAGCTGCTTGCTGTGAAACTTCGAAACCTATTGACTTTGCAATTGATTGACCAAGAAGAAGTTTCCGCTAAACAAAACATCGCACCTATCACACTCATGGCTGCCGATAAGAGCGTAATTACAATGCAATGATCCAAAGTGTTGTGTGCATGAGGGGAACCCTTCAACCACAATCAGTCGCAAGTTAGAACCCTTCAATTATGTTTCCCTTCTCCGGTCACCGCTAACTTCCAAGTCAACAACCACAACGGTGGTTTTTCTTTTCTAGAAACAACTAGTATATGCTCATTCTATACCGATCCCTACCCTTATTATAAAATTTATTTTCTAGATTTTTCGGACCACCATGCTATCAGGGTAATTGGAATTCCGTTATTTTTTTTTTTTTTTATTTTTTTTTTTGTAAAACAATCAAAACTCTACTTTATAAAGAAAAATCCAAAAACTTCATCTTGTTGTAAAAGTTGTGAGAGTGAATGCCTACATGTTTTTAGTCAAAGATGAAAAGTGAGGAAGACTTAAGAATAGTAGCATTGTTGTTGTTGTTGTTGTTTTTGTTGTATGATGTTTTTCAAAAGACACTCATTTCACTTTTGTGATTCTCCATGGATATGTCTCTATATGAGGAACATTCCATGTATAATCACAATACACAGAAAAGAAAATAAGTGGAAAGCAATAAAATCAATATCTATTCCTTCCTTTTTTTACTTGCAATCATTTTGTGTTATAGTTACGAAAATAAACAGTATGATACTTGCACCCGCTTCACTCATGTCCCTAGCAAAGGTTATCTCTCTAACTTTTGCCTATTTGTAACACGTTATCAACACGACTCTCTCTAACCAGTTATCATTTCCCCTTGCCAAAAAATGCTTCCTCCAAGAATCTTACTGTTCTTCTTCCTCATTTGCCTCACCTACTTGATGTACCCTCACCAAGATCTGCTAGCATCATGCCTTCTCCTAGTTCTCAATATAACAATTACTTATATTTTTTTATTTCTTGTTTGGTGTAACTTCTGATTACTAACGTAGTGTTTATTTATGTTAATTTTATTACGATCAAAGATGGTGCGTTACAATTGCCTATCTTGAACTGCAGATTTGATTTTATTGCAATTTTAGGTGGTGCGGTATAATCGCCCACCCTACACTGCATAATTAAATATTCCTGCTACTTGAGTGGTACATTATAATCACCCATCCTACGCTATATTGTTTCGATGAGAGTGGTGGTGTACAATCACCTTCCTCATTCTTATCATTTTGGTCTGAAGATCAAAATGAAAAATTTGTAAGAACCAGAAGTTCTAACACTACATTCCTCCATAATGGATATTATTGCAAGTTCTTACACATCTCATTTTTCTTTTAGAAAATGAAAAATGGCGAACTTGGCAAAGCTTGATTTTGTTGCCCTGGATATTATTGGGAAAATCGGTTACGGTGGTTTGGACATTTGCAAAGAAGGCCTACTGACGCTCCAGTTAGAAGATGTGACTACGGGACAAAGGTCCAGGGCTGAAGGGGTAGAGGAAGACATAGGAAAACTTTGGAAGCGACTCTAAGAAAAAACTTAAGAGTACTTGGATCTAACGGAGGACATGACATAGAACTGAGCACAATGGCGTTCTAGGATTCATATAGCCGATCCTACTTAGTGGGAAAGGCTTTGTTGTTGTTGTGGATATTATTGGGAAAAACTACCTTACTTGGGTAGTGGATGCCAAGATCCATCTGGAGGCAAGAAACCTTGGAGACACCATTAAGAAGGGAAATAGTGCATTATCTCAAGAATGGGTGAATGCCATGATCTTTATCTGTCGCCACCTTGATGAAAGATTGAAGAACACTTAACGGTTGAAGGTCCATTAGCTTTCTGGAAGACATTGAAAAATAGATACAATCACCAGAAAACAGTGATTCTCCCAATGGCTCGTTATGAGTGGACACACTTGAGAATCTAGGATTTCAAGATGGTTTATGAGTATAACTTTGCAATGTTCAAAATTAGCTCCCAAATGAAATTTTGTGGTGAGAATATTATTGAGGAAGATATGCTGGAAAATACTTTCAGCACCTTTCATGCCTCCAACGTGCTCATGCAGCAGCAGTATAGAGAGCGAGGCTCTACTGAGTATAACCAGCTAATATCGGTGCTCCTTGTAGTTGAACAGAACAATAAGCTCTTGATAAAAAAATCATCAATCTCAAACTACTGGGTCGGTGTTATTCTTAGAAGTGAATGTTGCTTCCCTCGAAATGAACACCACATCCTCTTGTGGCAATAATTACAAACGAGGGCGTGCCCACAACGAGGCCAGTGGAATGGGAAAGGCAAGAATCATGGTGTCCAGTTTTACAACCAAGGTCCAAGGCATAATTTAAGCCCGAGCTTTAAATATGTAAATCGCCACAAAGTAAAGCTCATATGAATAGCACTCCTAGAAATCCTGAAGGAGTTTGCCATAGGTGTGGTGGTAATGGCCACTGGGTGCGTGCCTGCTGGACCCCAAAACATCTGGTGGACCTATATTAATCTTCCATCAAGGAGAAGGGTGTTCATCGACCAGACTAAACTAATCGATATACCTAATCCAGTGTTCAATTTATCAGGGCAATTGAACACAACCTACATGGATGTTTCAAACTTCATTGTGGAAATAGGGAATGAAGTATATGGATCTGATTGAATAATTTTTTTGTTTGATGTACTCTTATTATCTGAACTTGTAGTTTAAAGCTCACATTTCAATTCAATAAAAGGCATTTCAATTTCTTTTTATTATGAATAAATTGCTTCTAACTATGATTCCCTTACTTAGAGAGCATGGATAAAAATTATGGTTATTCTCAAAACAAGAGCAATTGCAGAGATATTTGTCTTGCAAATAGTGCAACCACGCATACAATACTTTGAGATCGAAAATATTTCTCAAGCTTGATGCTTACAAAAGTAAAGGTAACAACAATACCAAGTCAATAAGATGTTATTGAAGGCTCAAGAAAAGCCCAGATCATATTACCAAATGGAACAATATTGTCCATACAAAATGCATTGTACGATACTCAATTTCCTCGAAATTTGTTATGTTTTAAAGACATACATTTAAATGGATATCACATTGAAATAAAATGTGCAGAAAATGTGGAATATCTATGCATTACCTTCAATGATGCCCAGAAGCATGCATCGGAGAAGTTGCGTGGTTTATCGAGTGGATTATATTATATATACATAAAGACAATTGAAGCACATACTGTCATGAACCATAAGTTCATTGATCCAAAAATTTACATGCTTTGGCATGACCGTCTAGGTAATCCAGGATCCACCATGATACGTAGAATCATTATCAACTCCAACGGACATCCATTATTGAGCAGACATATTGCTATATCAAATGATAACCCTTGCAAGGTTTGTCCTTAAGGAAAGTTGGTAATTAGACCGTCACAATTAAAGATTGATGCTAAATCCCCATCATTTTTGCAAAGAATTCAAGGGGATATTTGTGGGCCTATTCAACCACCATGTGGACCATTTCGATATTTTATGGTTTTGGTTAATGCATCTACACAATGGTCATGTGTTTGCCTCTTGTCTACTTGAAACGTAGCTTTTGCGAGGCTTCTTGCTTAGATAATTAAGTTATGAGCACAGTTCCCAGATTACTTTATTAAGTCAATTCAACTTGATAACGCTGGTGAATTTACGTCTTAAACCTTTGATGATTACTGCATGACACTAGGCATTGATATTGATCACCATGTTCCTCATGTCCATACTCAAAAGGGTTTAGTAGAAGCATTTATCAAGCGGTTTCAATTAATAGCTTGTGTTTTGCTCATGAAAACAAAATTGTCAGTTTCTGCATAGGGACATGCCACCTTTCATACTGCATTATTGGTTCGATTAAGACCTATATTCAACCACTAATACTTTTCAATACAACTCTTGTTTAGGCATCGGCCAAACATTTCACGTTTACGAGTTTTTGGTTGTGTTGTGTATGTG